GAGCAAGACTCCATCTCAAAAGAAAAGGCATTATGCTTTTAATATCCCTGACCTACTGAACACCATAACATAGCCTGACCTTCCGCGTAAGCGGGACACTTACAGACATTTCTTTTTGTTATTGTTGAGACAGCGTCTCACTCTGTCGCCCAGGCTGGAGTGCAGTGGTGCAATCACGGCTCACTGCAACCTCCGCCTCCCAGGTTGAAGCAATTCTTCTGCCTCAGCCTCCCGAGTAGCTGGGGTTACAGGCACGCCCCACCACACCTGGTTAAGTTTTGCACTTTTAGTAGAGATGGGGTTTCACTATGTTGCCCAGGCTTGTCTCGAACTCCTGAACTCATGATCTGCCCTCCTAGGCCCCTGCAAAATGCTGGGGTTATAGGCATGAGCCACCACACCTGGCCAACTTACAGACATTTCTGAAAAGAAGACATATAAAGGCCGGGTGCGGTGGCTCACGCCTGTAATCCCAGCACTTTGAGAGGCCAAGGTGGGCGAATCACCTGAAGTGATTCAAACCAACCTGACCAATGGTGAAACCCCGATTCTATTAAAACAATATTAGCCAAGTGTGGTGGCAGGTGCCTGTAGTCTGAGCTACTTGGGAGGCTGAGTCAGCAGAATTGCTTGAACCCGGGAGGCAGAGGTTGCGGTGAGCCAAGATCATAGCACCGCATGCTAGCCTGGGCGACAGAGTGAGACTGTCTCAAAAAAAAAAAAGAAAGACATACATGGCCAACGGGCATATGATTTCACCACCCTGCAGTTGGGCGGTCACCGAACACAAAGCCTGCCTTATAATGAAGTATTAATACCTTGTGTGATTTATTGAATACGACATGGAAAGTGAAGAACAGAGCGGCCGCGTGGGTGCGGAAAGCGTGCTTTCTACTGAAGGGGCATCACCTTTGCGCCGTCATGGAGCTGAAAATCGTTAAGCGGAATTGTCCTAAGATGGGGACCATCTGTACTCGAATCGTGGGGAGTGCAGCTTTCACGAAACGAAGAGTCAATTAGTGTGGCAAACTTCATCGTCTTATTTAAGAAATTGCCAGGCCGGGCGCGGCGGCTCACGCCTGTAATCCCAGCACTGTGGGAGGCCGAGGAGGGTGGATCACGAGGTCAAGAGATCGAGACCATCCTGGTCAACATGGTGAAACCCCGTCTCTACTAAAAATACAAAAAATTAGCTGGGCATGGTGGCGGGTGCCTGTAATCCCAGCTACTCAGGAGGCTGAGGCAGGAGAATTGCCTGATCCCAGGAGGCGGAGGTTGCGGTGAGCCGAGATGGCACCATTGCACTCCAGCCTGGGTAACAAGAGCAAAACTCCATCTCAAAAAAAAAAGAAAAGAAAAAAAATTGCCACAAGCATTCCCGGCCCAGGAACCAGCACCGTGCTCGGTCAGCAGCCATCAACACGGAGGCCAGACTCCTCCAGTGGAAAGACAACAACGCCCGAAGGCTCACGTGATCATTAGCATTTTTTAGCAATACATTTTAAAATTAAGGTATGTACAGTTTTTTTCGGCTTAACGCTATTGCACGCTTACTAGACGACGGTGAAGTGTAAAGATAACTTTTATATGCGCTGGAAAACTGAAACATTTGTGTGACATACTTGCTCTACTGGAGCGGCCTGGAAGTGAGTGGGCAACACTTGCAACATGTGTGTGATTCCTGCTGGCGAGGTGTGATAAAAGCTCGAATCTTTTTTTTTTTTTGAGACGGAGTTTCACTCTTGTTACCCAGGCTGGAGTGCAATGGTGCGATCTTGGCTCACCACAACCTCCGCCCCCTGGGTTCAGGCAATTCTCCTGCCTCAGCCTCCTGAGTAGCTGGGATTACAGGCACGTGCCACCACGCCCAGCTAATTTTTTGTATTTTTAGTAGAGACGGGGTTTCACCATGTTGACCAGGATGGTCTCGATCTGTTGACCTCGTGATCCACCCGCCTCAGCCTCCCAAAGTGCTGGGATTACAGGCGTGAGCCACCGCGCCCGGCCAAAAGCTCGAATCTCTCTAATTACCAACTTTCAGCGTAAGGGGCTTGTGCAACGGGCCGTGTCTTATGGTGGCATGTGAGTTTTTGTTTGCTTTTTCCGAGTTTTCTTTCCTTGACTTTTTGATGTGTCATGACCGACTCACGCATTACTCTCTATTTAGTGTGTTTTGCTCCAGTTCAGTCATCACTCTTCGGTCACTGGGAGTCCTTTCAGCATTTTTGCTGAAAACTTTAAAGTAATGGGCAGATATAAATGACATTTTACCTCTGAATACTTCAGTATGCATTAACAAATAAAGAAAAAAAAATCCTGCATGATCACACCATTACCCCCTCTAACAAAAACCCGTCATTCTGGCCGCTGTGTTCTGTTTCCCTGATTCCAGGAGGCTCCACATCTTAGTTCTAGTGCTTTCTGGCACAAGATGTTCCAGCCTTGTCTTATCACACGTTTCCTGCACTAGACCTGGACTCAGCTACTTACTGAGGAGTCCACGGATCTTTAAAGTGGGGAATTGGCATTTAGAAACCCAAGTTAAGGCCGGGCGCAGCGGCTCACGCCTGTAACCCCAGCACTCTGGGAGGCCGAGGTGGGCAGATCACGAGGTCAGGAGATCGAGACCATCCTGGCCAACACAGTGAAACCCCGCCTCTACTACAAATACAAAAAATTAGCTGGGCATGGTGGCACACGCCTGTAGTCTCAGCTCTCAGGAGGAGGAGGCAGGAGGATTGCTTGGACTCGGGAGGTGGAGGTTGTAGTGAGCCGAGATCACACCACTGCAATCCAGCCTGGGCGACAGAGCGAGACTATGTCTCAAATACACAACAAACCAACAAAGCAACGGAGAAACTCAAGCGAAATCGTGAGTTCCAACTCAAATTTAACACTGAAAGCTTTTCTTAGGCTGGGTACCGGGTCACGTACCTACTTTTCCCTACAACTTGAAGTTTGTAAAAATGGGATAAAATATTCTTTTTGGTTTTGGCAGCATGTGTAAATTTGTCTTGGATTTTTGACATCTTTATGGGAAGATTTTAACTTCTAAATTTATTTTAGGATTATAGGACTCTTCAGGCTTTTTTTCCCTCTATGAATCAAATTTGGCACATAATATTTTTCTAGAAATGGGCCATTTTGTGTAATTTTTCAAGTCACCTTGCTAGACTGTTCGCACGGCCTCTGCTGCATCGTAGAGCGGCTGTCCTCTCGTTCCTCAGTAGGTTTTTGTGCCTCTCGCCGGTCTTTTCCTCGGGAGATCTTGTAGCAGTTTTATTAATTTTTTCGAGAAATCAACTTTATATATTTTAGTTCTAATTTCGTTTCTCATTTATTTCTGCTTTACTTTATCTTCCTTCATCCGCTTTCTTAGTATATTCCTGCTGATATTTTTAGACCTCATTCAGTTGAATGCTTAACTTTTTTTTTTTTTGAGACGCAGTCACCCAGGCTGGAGGGCAGTGGTGCTATCCTGGCTCACTGCAACCTTTGCCTTCTGGGTTCAAGCAATTCTCCTGCCTCAGCCTCCTGAGTAGCTGGGATTACAAGTGCACGCCACCACGCCCAGCTAATATTTGTATTTTAGTAGAGATGGGGTTTCACCGTGTTGGCCAGGCTGGTCTCGAACTCCTGACCTCAGGTGATCTGCCCACCTCGGCCTTCCAGAGTGCTGAGCTGAGCCTTGAGGTCCAAGTTCATCTCCAGCTCCAGAAGAGCCTGGAAGATGCCGGACCCGAACTTGTCCGGCTTCCCGCCATTGGGCTTCACGATCTTGGCGCTCGCACTGAACCTGGCCTTCTCCTTGCTGACCACCAGCTTCGGGAGACTGGATGCCTCACTTTTGAATTTTCAGTTGCTCCTTTTTACTAATGTAAGTGTGTAATGGATGAATTTTCTGTAGAATTCTGCTTTTGCTGCATCCCACAAAATTTCCTACGGAGCACTGGTATCAGTATTTAGTTCTAAATATTTTACATTTTCCGTCATTCACGAATGATTTAGAAATCTGATATAGCCAGATGCGGTGGCTCGCGCCTATAATCCCAGCACTTTGGGAGGCCAAGGTGGGCAGATCACCTGAGGTCAGGAGTTCAAGACCAGCCTGACTAACATAGAGAAACCCCATCTCTACTAAAAATACAAAAATTAGCCGCAGCTGGTCTGGAATTGCTACGCTCAAGCAATCCTCCCATCTTGGCCTCCCAAAGTGCTGAGATTATAGGCCCGTGCCACTGTGCCCTGCTCCCTCCTCCACTCTTGAATAATACTTAAGTTGGGTACAAAATTATTGGTTGTTATCTTCTTATAACTTAAAGATATTGACTTCTGAACCATATTGTGGCTATGGAGAAATACGCGCCAACCTAATTGTTCCTTTGAAAACAGTTTCTCTTATCTCTCTGTTAGAGGTTCGGCAGTGTGAACGCAATGTGTCCAGGTTAGCTATATTCTTCTGCGTTCTGCCGGGGACCTGTGCAGCTTAAACTTCTGGATCTGTGTTTCGGGTTATTTCTGTAAGGATCTCAGCCATTACCTCTGTGACTATCGCCTCCTCCCATTTCTTTATCCTCACGCTGAAAAATTCATTAAACATATTCTGGGCTTTTCCATTCTGTCTTTCATGCCTCATGATATCCTTCAACATTTTACACGTCTTCATCCCATTTCTGCATCTGTCTAATTTCTGATGAGCAACCTTCCCATGTGCAAGTTGTTTCTTCAGCTCTGTTTATTAGTCGGTCAACTTTCCCTGAGGTTTCAGTTTCTCACTGTGGAATTTCCTTCTCACCCACAGCCAGGGGACAGACGAGTTTCGTTGCCAGTTCACTCCAGCCACAACTCAAGTTTATCCGGCTACTTTCCCTGACCTTCAAACACCCGTCTCTGAGCAGAATTCTCAATTTCATCTCTTCCCTCTCGCAGCACAAGGCCTCGTCCCCTTACTCAGAGGAGGGAACGTCTTGGGTGTTGAGCCAGTAGGGCTATTTCTGGGCCCGTAAACACCGGAGATACTGCAGTGTCAGCTCCCTGCTCATCCTGGCTTTCAGTTCCCACTCCATTTCCGGCACATGGGGATTTCCCTTTCTTGCCTGTAACGGTGTCTAAGTTTGATCTTACTTTTAGCTAACATTTCTAGCTGTTTCAAGGGGTAGGGATTAAGCAGTGAGGGTGAGGGGCTGAGAAGTTGGGCAGAGGATGGTTGCTAAGAGGCAGAAAAGACATGATCGATTTTGGCAAACACAAGGCTCAGGAGATAGACGCCGGCTCTCAGGCCTGCCAGCACTACCAGGGCGGGGGTGGAACATACTCAGAGAATGGAGGATCTGAGAAGAGAGCTGGACTTCTTGTGCTGGTTTCCCTCGTGAGGCTAATTCTCACTGGACGTGAGAGTCCCGTTCAGCTCAGCAATAGGCTGAGCCTTGAGTGGCTGAAGAGTTCAGTGAAACTTCACTAATTATGGCTTGGGGGAAGCAAAATGGAGCCCAGGACTTCCTTCAAAGGAGGAGGGTGGTGCTTAACCCTCCCGGCTTGCGGTTGAGACCCCAGAGGGGCGTGCCCTAGATCACGACAAACAGGTAAATCCGAGGGCAAACGAGAGGTGGAACAAGCCGTACCACGTACGCAGCCTGTCCCATTCGGCTCAGCCCTGACTTGACTGGGGTGACCTGTCCCTGCTCTGTGGCAGAGGACAGGGCGGGTCCTCTCTGATGGCCACAATAGCATCCGGAGATCGTACTTTTTCCCCCCTAGTCACAGTGTCTGTTGTTTTATATCAAGAGTTACCAGACACCTACAAAAATATATAGACCCAAGTGTAAAAGCAGGGGATGAAACTCGGAGCTTTGAAACGACTCTGATGACCGTGCGCTGAGGAGTAAGTGACGAGACGGAAACTTTCATTAGAGAAACGAAATCTTGAAAACAATCAAATAGAAACGCCAGCACTAAGAATAAAATAACCAACGTGAAGAGTGTGACAGATGGGTTAACAGACTATTAGCGGACAGGACTGAAGAGGGGATTAGCGAGCCCTGATTTAGGTCAGCAGCCAACAGGAGAGCGAAGCACACAGAGAAAAACGCATGGAAAATAGCAGAGGAGACACGCAGGGCCGTCAGCAGACCTCACACACCTGTCGCTCGAATCCAGGGAGGGAGATTGCAAACGGGGCACAACAGCATCTGAAGAGAAGATGAGTGAAACTTTCCCAAAACCAGCGGAAGACATACCAGTTGCACGTGCAGGAAGTGCTGCACATTTCCAGAGAGGTAAATACAAAGGTACTCCTAAGCACACTGTAGCAAAACCGCCGAAAACTCAGTGACTTGGAGAAAATCAGTAACAGCCAGGAGGCCGGGCGCCGTGGCTGATGCCTGTAATCCCAACACTTTGGGAGGCTGAGACAGGAGGACCCTGTCTCTACAAAAATAAAAATAAATTAAATGAATAACAGCCAGGAAAAAAAAAAAAAAACAAAAAGATGCCACCTTCGAAGGGGCAACAGTGAGGCTCTTGACTTCGCCACATAAACACGGAAAGCCAGCAGACAACGGAACAATATTCTTAAACGCCAACATGGGACGCAATTTCAAGGGAAAGAGAAAGGTAAATAAAAACATTTCCGTCACCCTCCCCAGTGAATCGAGAGAATCCTCACGGCAAACATGCACCAATAAACAAGACAAAACACAGTGCAGGCCTTTGGAAAATGGTCCCGAATGGAGACATGGAAACGCAGAAGGGAAACAACGGAACAGCAGCCGAGAGGCGAACACGATGGTGCGTTTCCATGCACACCAGCTGCGGAAAGTGGTAAGATGATTTATTGTGCAGGTTAACACATGTGCAGAGCCGAAATGCCTGAGAATGACAGCACAAAAACTGGGAGAGAGGCTGATGAATTGAGGGCATTAGAAGGACAGGACGTGGTGGCTCACACTGATAATCCCAGCACTTTGGGAGGCTGAGGCTGGTGGATCATTTGAGGTCAGGAGTTCGAGACTAGCCTGACCAACATGGCCAAATCTCGTCTCTACTAAAATTATAAAAAAAAAGTTTAGCTGGGCGTGGTGGCACATGCCTGTAGTCCCAGCTACTCAGGAGGCTGAGGCAAGAGAATCGCTTGAACCCAGGAAGCGGAGGTTGCAGTGAGACGAGGTTGAGCCACGGCACTGCAGCCTAGGCAGCAGAGTGAGACTCTGTCTCAAAAAAAAAAAAGGAAAGAAAAAGAAAAAAGAGAGAAAAAAAAGAATAGCAAATGTAATATAGCAGATTTAAACCTAAATACATTGATAAATATAATAGAGGTATACTAAAATACTCCAATTAAAAGAAATATTGTCAGACTGAATATTTAAAAATAAGCCCCAGCAACATCGGTTAAAAGGATAGAAATTCTTTGAAGAGAGTTGGTTTAAATAAGTAAATAAAAAGGATGGAAAAAGATAAATCATAACATTAACTAGAAAAAAAGCTGGCATCACTATAGTAATATGAGACAAAAATGGACTTCAGATTAAAAAAAACTAGAGATAAAAACTTTATAATAATGAAAGGCCCCATCAAGCAGGAAGTTAACAATTCTGCATCGTACGTACCTAATAACAGAGCTTCGAAATACATAAAGAAAAACTTATAGGCCAGGCCTGGTGGCAGGTGCCTGTAATCTCAATTACTCGGGAGGCTGAGGCAGGAGAATGGCTTGAACCCAGGAGGCAGAAGTTGCAGTGAGCTGAGACTGCACCACTGCACGCCAGCCTGGGCGACAGACTGAGACTCCGTCTCAAAAAACACAATAAAATGAAACAAAATACAAACTTACAGAACCAAAAAGAGAAACAAAGAGACCTGCTGCCACGGGGGTGACTTTCACACGGAAGCAGCGGGATGAGCGGGTGGAGGAAATTCACGGGGATACGGATGATTGGAACAAAAATGGTGAAGTTGGTCAGACTGAGAAAAAACAACGCCTCTCCCCAAAACGCCGGAAAGGGGACGTGTCACAATGATTGAACCTGTCCCTACACGGGGCCATAAAGCTTTCTCTATACATTTCAAGTGACTAAAATAATTTTAAGTATATATTCTGACCATAGTGAAAAGAGGCCACAAATTAATCACAAGAGAATAACCAGAAAATTCTCAAGTGTTCGGTGATTTCACTACACACATCCGAATAACTGCCAGGCCAGGAAGGAAATCACAAAACACTAGGAATTGTTTGAGCTAAATAGTGATGAAAATAGATACGCTTTATGAGATCAGCGAACATTATGTTTAGAAGGAAATGTATGGGCTTAAATCTGTACATTGGCAAAGAAGATTAGCGGGAAAATCAGTGACTGTCCGTGTCACAAAGGAAAGAAAGCGGAAACCCTCAGATAGGGAAGAAAGGAAAAAAGCTAACACACAAAAATAAAACGAGCAGCAGAAATGAATGAAAGAGAAAACAATAAACGGGTAACGGAAAACATATAAAACCAAAACGCTGGTTTTCTGAAGGGCATACTGAGACTGGCAAAGCACGTCAGGACTGAACAAGAGACAGAAAGGCACCAATCGCCGGCCTCAGGAGCGACAGTGGGGGCGTCAGCAGCTCCCACAAAGACCAGAAACACAGGAGGCTGTTAGGAACATTTCGATGTTGTTAGATATTTTCCATTCTTATTTTTCTCAAATTTGTATTGCACTATAACATACATCTGTAGAGGAAATGAACGTATTTATTTTATTTTTGGAGACAGAGTCTTGCTCTCTTGCCTGGCTGGGGTGCGGTGGCGCGGTCTCGGCTCACTGCAACCTCCGCCTCCCAGGTTCAAGTGATTCTTGTGCCTCAGCCTGCAGAGTAGCTGGGACTACAGGCACCTGCCACCACATTCTGCAGTTTTTTTGTATTTTTAGTAGAGACAGGGTTTCACCAGGTCAGGCTGGTCTGGAACTCCTGACCTCATGTGATCCGCCTGCCTCAGTCTCCCAAAGTGCTGGGATTACAGACATGAGCCACTGCTCCCAGCCTGATTCCAGGTCTTTAGATAATTCTTTCAACCATCTGGGAACCAGAAAATCCCTAAATCCATCTATGACCTAGAAGCCTCAGATGACAGGTGTGAGGCACCACACCTGGCCTTCTTTTTCCCTCTGAGACTGGGGGACGACATTTCCTTGAATCTCGTAGTAGTTAATACCTTCCCCCCAAAAGGTGACCGGTGCTGTGACTTATTTTTGAAATCCTATGGCACATAGACTCTGGTGTCTGGTGTCTGTTGCCCACTGTGACGTCTGTAGAGTCATCCAGGTGTTACCAAGTGCGGTCATTTTCTTTTCACTTGCAAGGTGCCCAGGGCACAAACATACCAGACCTTATTTATCCATCCATTGTCAAGGGCCATGAGGTTGCTTTCCGTGGGGAAGATTCTACCAACAGAGCCGCCGTGAGCGGCCTCGGACACGCCTAAGGACTGAAAGCACGTGCTTCTCTTCGGCATGAGGCTGGAAGTGGAGCTGTTGGGTCCTAGGCAGGCACGTGCACAGCGCTGGGAAATGCTGCGGCTTTTTCCAAAATGGTTGCCCCGCTATGCTCTCACCTGCCACGCCGAGGATTCGGTCTTCGCCATCCTGGTGGACGTGGTGACCTCTCATTATGGTTTCAGCCTGCACTCGTCTTTTCTGACAAACGGTAGCGGGCATGCTTCCGTGAAGGCGTTGGGCCACGCGGGCGTCCTCCTGGCACGTCTTTCACTTGCCCTGCTTTTTAATGGGCGCCTCTCTTTTTCCTCTGACTTCTAATACTTATACATTTTGAGTCCAAATTGTTTGTCCTTTTCACTCGCCTTAAGGTGCCTTTGGGTGAACAGAGGTTCTTAGTTTTCAGTAGCCCAATTTATTAAGAAGCTCCTGGCAGTCCAGTGAGAAGCGAGGAGGGGTAGTACGGGGGCCTCTTCTCCTGAAGAAGAAAGGGCCGCAGGAGGAAAGCCTTAGCCATGCCGTCCTTGATCAGAAGGGTAATCAGCCCCAGGGGCCATCGGACCCTACAGCCAAGCTGTGATGGTCAACAGGACCATGTACATTTCAGCACAGATAGGCGTGGACCCCTCAGGTGGCCAGCTTGTGTCAGGAGGCGTAGCAGAAGCAGCTAAACCAGCTCTTTTTTTTTTTTTTTGAGACGGAGTTTCGCTCTTGTTACCCAGGCTGGAGTGCAATGGCGCGATCTCGGCTCACTGCAACCTCCGCCTCCTGGGTTCAGGCAATTCTCCTGCCTCAGCCTCCTGAGTAGCTGGGATTACAGGCACGCGCCACCATGCCCAGCTAATTTTTGTATTTTTAGTAGAGACGGGGTTTCACCATGTTGACCGGGATGGTTTCGATCTCTTGACCTCGTGATCCACCCGCCTCGGCCTCCCAAAGTGCTGGGATTACAGGTGTGAGCCACCGTGCCCGGCCCAAACCAGCTCTTAAAAACATGAGTGAAATTCTGAAAGCCGCAAGCTGTGACTTCACTAATGTGGTGAAAACAACCATTCTTCGGGCCGACGTAAAGGACTTCAATACCGTCGATGAAATCTACAAACAGTATTTCAAGACTAGATTTCCCGCTAGAGCTGCTGCTTTGCCCAAAGGTGCCCGAATTGAAATGGAAGCAGGAGCCGCCCAAGGGCCTCTGACAACGGCACCATGTAAGTGGGCACGGTGCTGTGTAGTCTGGAATTTTTAACATTTTAATTTTTACAATGAATATAACATCTTAATTAACATTTTAATTTTCATAATATTGATGACAGTGTGAATCTGATGAAAATATCTGATGTTATTATGGAAATGCCATACAATAGGGAGAGCGGAACACGACCTGAGGATTAGAAAGGAATCCAGTTACTGTTTTGAATTACACCTCTGTGCACCTGTATTCCTGAATACAGGAAGGAGATACTCATTACCTAGTTACTCAACAAAAAAAGAGAAATAACAGGCAGGGAAGAAGACTTATGATTCCTGAGAAGTAATTGAGAACATATGTAATTCAAACCAATACTGTGAACGACTTAATTCTCACGTTACGTATGTGCTTCTGCTTTTCCTGAGTAAAATTTAAGTGTTGAAATTTGAGGTCAAGGAGAAGAAAGTGGACCAAAATGTTGCATAGATAATATTTTTCTAACGGAAATAAAATAGGCACGCGGATTTCAACAACAACAAAGAAGAAACTGCTGGCCAGGCATGGTGGTTCACGCCTGTAATCCCAGCACTTTGGGAGGCTGAGGCAGGTGGATCGCCTGAGGTCAGGAGTTCGAGACCGGCCTGGCCAGCATGGCAAACCTCCATCTGTACTAAAAATACAAAATTTAGCGCACGCCTGTAATCCCAGCTACTTAGGAGGTTGAAGCAGGAGAATTGCTTGAACCCAGAAGAGGAAGGTTGCGGTGAGCTGAGGTCACATTGTGTTCAGTGAGACTCTTCCTCCAAAAAAAAGAAAAAAAAAAGGAAATTCTCTTCTGATTTATAGCTTAAGGAAGAATTTAAAATTATGCCACAGGTCACTTCTGCTTCAGGCCATGAGGGACAGGGACACAGGACGGGTTTGCCTTCTCACCTCAAACAGTGAGAAAACCGCAGGCATGCTTTGCTGCGGGAGGGGAGGCAGGGCTGTGGGCTGGTCCAGCCCTACCCGTGGGCGGCTCCCTTCTAAGGAGTGTCCAGCGTCCTGTGCGCCTTTCACCCCCATGAGCCTGGCAGCCCGGTGCCAGCATTCCCAGGTCTGTATCACGTCCAAGGCGTGATGGGCTCCAGCGCTCCGCTGGTGGTTTTCCTGCCTCACCTGGCTTCCTTGCATGTGTGCCCCTGTGCTGGCCCCAGGGCTCCGTGTGCTGTCCTCTCCCCGTTGCTGCTTCATCTCACAAATTCCAGTTGCCTTCGCCTCCCTGAACTCTCCGTGGGAGCCACGCCGTGAGCAAGGCAGGCAGGTGGGCTCACCGCATTTCCTTCCGGTGCCTGCTGTCCGGTGTCTGAAAACTGCCGTTTCCCATGTTATTTTCTCCTTGTTCAAGGTGAGAAGGCAAACCCAGCCCGTACCCCGTCCCTCACGCCAAAAGCAGAAACGGCCTATGGTGTGATTTTAAGTTCTTCTTCAAGCTAAATCATGACAGCATTCTCATTAAAATTTTATTTTAAGCAGAATTTTATATTTGAGAGTAAAAAAGGTTTACTGTCTTTTCTTGGGCATAATTTGAATGTTTGGCCTTTGAATTTTGCTGAAAAATTTCTCTGACAAAAAGCCATTAATTTTTGCATGGAAAAGGTGTGGGCTCAATTCTGCCTGATGGTTGCTTGGATTTGTCACTAGCAAGATTGGACACAAACGTGTTTCACTGACTTCTGCAAATGACCCAAGACCCAAGGCAGGCCCCGAGCCACCGAGCTCCCGCTGTCCTTCAGGGACTTCTCTCCCCAGCTCCAGCTCCTTGACTGTGCTCTCCTGCTGTTATCTCACCCACTGTCCCCACATCTGGGCCACTCGGGCCAGGACCTGGGCACGTCCTTGGCCCTCTCTGCCCCTCCGCTGGGGACCCAGTCCCTTCAGGCTCCCACAGGTTTGCTGCTTCCTTTCCACATGGCCCATCCACCATCCATGCCTCCTGCACCCTCACTCCCAGTCAAAGCCCTCCTCCCTCTGACCTGACTAGACAAGGAACAAGAGAAGCTCACACTCCTTAGGGGAGGGCCAATGTGAGCCCACCAAATCAAATCACCACCCACTGGCCCCTCCGGCCCAGCCCCACCCTAGGGCTGGCGCCCCCCTGCACTCCCGCAGCCATGGGGCACTGGGGTGTCTGTTCAGGCTGACTTTCCAGTAGGTCCCAAATCTCTGGGAAGGCCCGCGGAGGGGCCCCACTCAGAAGGCCCTCAGGGATCTGCTGCCAGGACTAAGGTCTCACTACCCAGCCCCACCCACAGTCTTCGCTGAAGGGGGCCAGGCCAGCAGTGACCACCTCAAGCACGGCCCCGGGAGTGGCACTCGGATGGCTCAGATGGTGAGGCAGGGTGTGGAGGCCCCCGGTGGCTGTATGAGGCCCGTGAAGCCGTGTCCTCACGTTCTCGGTGGGTCGCTCAGCTCAACCACCACCGTGTAAACTCAGGTATGTCCCAAGGGCAGGGGAGGGTGGCATCATAAAGGCAGTCCACCCAGGAACATCTGGTGATGTCCTCTCCACGGCCATCACGGGGAGTGGAGGGTTGAGAGGCCAGAGCACTGGGCTGCCGAGGTGAGAAGCCCACCCTGGTACTCCCACCAGGGTCGAGGTCAGCCGCACTGGGGTCCTGAGCCGCTGCCTGGCAGCCCGGCAGCGCATCAGTGCCGTGGGGCCCACCCTGTGGCTGGAGCTGGGCGGTGACCTCCGGCCCCTCCGACGACCGGGTGTGACGGGCGTCAGTGATGTGACGCGGTGACAGGCAGCAGGTGTCCTCCGAAGCCCTAGCGGAGAAGGAACTGGGAGGTGGGTGGCGCTCATCGCATGGCGACTGTGTGTGTGCCCACTGCCTATATTTACGCAGAATGAGCACAGTTTTAAACAGCGCTCTTGGAATAGTTTTCATCAAGTAGCTCTTTTCTCTTTTTTTAGGAGTAAACATGTGGAAATGTTGCTTTCTAGCCCAGGCCGCCCCCTGCTGGCAGAATCTCTGAACTGCAGCCTGCCCTGGTCTGTCCTCCTATGGGGCCCCACCCACCCCAAACACCCTGGATAGAGAAGGAAGGCCAAGGTGCCAGGCGCTGACATGCTGCCATGTGATAGAAGAATGATTTATTAGAACAAATTCCATGACAAATCATATAAAATAACCATTTTCCAAAAGCCACAAGACCACCTGAGAACGAATGTACAGTGAACCCTCTGAGAAGCCCGGCAAACTGACCAGTCCCCAGGTGAGGGCTGGACGGGGGAGCGAAGGAGCTCAGCGTGGGAGGAGCAGGAACTGTGGATTTAAAGTCACACAGCCACTGCCGAGGGGTGCAGCTGGAGTGGGAAGGAGCCGTGGATGAAGTGACCAATTCGTGTCCAGGGGCACGCAGTGGTGGGCAGCGGCCCGATGGGCCTAGCTGGCACCTCCTCCATACAGACAGCAGGCTCTTGGGGTGGGGACCAGGTGGGGACAACTGCCACCCCCACCCCCCCCAACACACGTAAACATCAGGTGGGCCATGGGGCTCAGAAGCACAGAACTTGTGCACCCAGCCCCAGATCAGCTAAAAGTAAACAGGGACACACACCACCCACTTCGTCTCCGGTCCCCAGCACCACTCCCCCAGCAGCTGGGCCCTGTCCAGGTCCAATTCTCGTACCAATGCCAGGCGGGACGTGGAGCTCAGCCACACCAGTCTGGTCCAGGTGGGACACCCACCACTCCCACTCCCACCAACCACAGCCAATGGGCTCTTTGGCTTAGAGGCTCCAGCAACACGGGCTGCCCCAGGAAGGGCTGCGGCAGAGGGCCAAGGTCTGCTCACCTGACGTTCCCAGCTGAAAGAATCCTGAGGAAACAACAGTTCCTGGGCCCTCCCTGCCCCCATACCCACTTGATGCCTGATGGCATGAAGCCAAAAGGGGAGGGCGTGTTGTGCAGGCCAAGCTGGGAGCTTCCGGAAACCTGGCTTCCAGTCACTTTGGTCGTGTGCTCACCCCCCATCTGAAGGGCTGCCACGCACCCAGCTGTCCCCAGGCCCTTGGAAGCCCAAGTGCAGAGGCCCATAGCCCCTCAGGGACATCCCTGCGGTCCTCATGGTGCAGCATGGAGGCACGCATGGACTAGCCATGTGCATGGCGGGGTGTCTGCACCTGTATGCATGGCCCAGCTCTCAGCCAGCCCCAGGCCCACACCGTAGGGCTCCACGGGCAGCCCCAAGGTCAATGGATTTGGCAACTGTGTTGGCACCAAAGGTTGGAAGCAGTGAGGCGCCTGCCTGTGAAAGGCCTGCGGGTCAGGTGGGAGCCACCAGGGCAAGTGCCCTACCATCTTAGACAGTCCCAGGAACAGGTGAGCCTGCCCCAGCTCCATGCTTGCCACCAAATGACCCCACAGCCGACCTCTCTTCCTCTGCCTGGCTGCAGGCCAGCACAAAAGGACATGGCAGGTTAGGGCCTGGCGGGGCCAGTCAGGCCTGGAGGGGGCACCTGCAATGGCACCAACAACTCTTTCCTTTAAAGCTAAAGACAAAAATAACAGTGATGGAGAGGAGGCGGGGTAATGCCCTTGAGGGCTTGACCTTGGCAGCAGCCAGGCCAGGAGCTGGGTCCAGAGGCCTGTAGGGGGTGGGGCAGGAGAGGGGGTGGCCACGGGTCCGGACAGGCAAGTAGGGTGGTGGCTGGGAGCTGACGAGGGGCAAGGGCATGGGACACACCTGCCCATGGGGATATGGCACGAATGGGGGTCTTCAGGGAGAACCACCTGCAGCCAGGCAGGCGACTGTGCGGCAGACGGGAGGCAGATGTGCACGCACGGGGAGGCCGGCCTGGCCAGGTTCGGGGCCTAGATCAGGAACCTCTCAGCATCAGGAAGGAAGGTGGGGTCCGGGAGGCTGGGGGGCCCACAGCTGGCCCGCTGTGGGAAACTCCTCAGGGGCAGGGTTGGCAGCAGGGCCTCGGCAGAGGCAGGCGAGGGTGGGCTCTGGGCAGCCATGCGGCCCTTCCCCGGCCCTGGCTGCACAGAGCCGGCCGAGCCCCTGTTTCCTGTGAGCAGGTCCAGGCTCCCGCTGGGGTCCACGATGGCATTGATAACTGGAGGTCAGGAGGGAGGGTCAGGCTGCGGATCCTGCTCACCGGCTCCCACCCCGTGATTCAGGGTCCCCACAAGGCCCTGCCAGCTGCCCTGGGCTTGGGCCACACTCACCTTCCAGCTGCTTCTGCACCCGCCTCAGTTCCTTCAGGATGGAGCTGATTTCCTGGAAATGTGGCGGGAAGCAGGGTGTAGCTGACTTCTGAGGGGCCACAGCCCTGCCCCGGGGCTCTGTGTACAGGAGCTGGGACACGGTCTGGGGCCAGTCAGGCAAAACCAGGATGGCTGGGGGAGGCCTGGGGCTCGGGGCCCTGGTACTCACCTTGTTGGATGTCTTCAGGATGGGTACGTCATTCTCGGCGTAGATCCTGGCTTCCAGGTCCTCCCAGGCTCTCCCTGTGTTCTGAAAGAGGATCCTGCCCAAGGTGGGGAGAAGCAGAAATGGGGGACAAGGACAGGGATGGCAGAGCTGAGGGGCGAGTCTCCCAGACCTCCCCTGCCATGGTGAGGCCTCAGTTTCCCCACTAGGCCCACCCCACCTGGGCCTAAGGGGGAAACTGAGGCCTGATGCATGACCTGGGCTGACGGGCACCAAAGTCCCATCTGTGCCTGACTCTGGGCAGTGGGAAGGGCTGGGCCTGGGTTCAGGGTCTGCCACGAGGAGCCGCATACACACGGGAGGGCTGGCTGCTCAGGTGCACACAAGTGTACCCATGCGACCGCTGCCCTTAAGGGAGTCAGCCAGGCCTGAGGCTCAGCTCACAGAGCCTGCTGGTGCCTGGGCGCCCACCTACGCCCGGCCGACTCACTTCATCTTCTTGGCAAGGTGCTCCGTGTTCTCACGGATGGCCTGCGACAGCTGGGATACCGGGTTCAGCATCAGGTTATCGAAGATCACCTGCAAGAGCTTGGCATCAGCTTGGCCCTCACCCTCGAGGGTCCCCCCTGTGCCCCACCCTGGACACCCAGCTCCGTGGCGGCATTGGGCGCCCTGCCTCCTCTCGGTTCCGGGGCCGAGTCTTGTTGGCCAGGGCGTCCTCACAGCTGTTGTTCATGTTCTGGTCGAACTCCTGAGAGTTCAGCGAGCCAGGCGGCACCTTCTGGAAGTTGAGGCTGGCCTCGGGGATGCGCTGCACCAGCTGCGAGAGGGAGGGCAGGCACTGTGGGCCCTGGGCAGAGGCTCCCACCAGTCTGCGGCCGGGCAGGTGGACGGAGCACACCCACCTTCCGTCTGTGCAGGGTCCCTCCCATGCCCCCAACCCGCCATGGAGGCAACTGTGCTGGGGATCATGGCACAGTCACACCTGACTTGGGCGCTGAGAGCTCCCCAGACCTCAGGTTCTCTGGGTGGCCATTTGGGGAGCTGACCCAGGGGGACATGCTGTTCTTGTCAAGTGGGGATGTGCAGCGGGGCCTCAGCCAAGGCATGCAAAGGGCTGTAGGGGCCTGGCCTGACCCACCTCAAGAGTGACTCTGGCACAGGGGCCTCAGAAAGCCTGGGGCTCACCTCCTCCCGGGCAGAGATGGTTGAGGCGGGGGTGCTGGGCATGTTGCTGAAGGAGGAGCTGTGGGCAGGCCCCGAGGAGCTCAGTGCATCACCGTCCCCAGCCACATCGTGGATCTCCCGTGCCAGGATGGCCACGTCCTTCACCAGCGTCTGGCTCAGCCTGTAGCCGGGAGGAAAGATGGCAGGTTCTGCACGAGGAAGCTGGGGCAGCAAGGGCCAGACAGGCCACAAAGCCCCTCCCAGGTCCCAGGCAGCTGCTGGCCAGAGGTGGGGTCTGGGGGAGGTGCTCCCCAGCCTGGTCTCAAGGGGAGGCCCAACTTCCCACAGCCATGAGGAGGGATGGTGGGGGCTGGGACGGAGACTGACAAACAGAGACCCCCACTGGCTCAGAGCAGGCCACACATCCTCCCTCTCCTGCCCCCAGGGCCAGCATCACAGCCGCAGGGACTGAATAGCATAGATGGGACTTAGCCACAGGATGTGTGGGTGCCACGGGTACCCAGCTCTTCAGGCAGAGAAACTGAGGCAAGGAAGGGAGTGTGGGGCTGAGGTCACAGCAACTAGAGCCTGGCACTCCTCACGCTGAGGGGGCTGGGCAGAGGGTGGGGCAGGAAGATCTAGACAGGCAGGGGACCTCTTGCAGGGCAGTGAGGCCTACAGCAGCTCAGCCCAGCGCCCGGCTCAGCCCGCCTAGGATGTGCCAAGAAGGTACAGGCCTCCACCCTCCTGAGGTAACAGCACTTCCCAGCCAGGACGGGGGCCTGCCGGGGCACACAGCTTGTCACCTGTCCTGCTGGCCCTGTAAGCACCTGAGACACCAGCAGGTCTGGCCCCATGTAGGCTTTCAGCCCAGGCCTGCACTGGCACTGGCAACCACCCATCCCCATGAGGACAGGCCCCACCCCAAGCCTCCTCAGCCCCCACATCGGCAGTCACCCCAGGAACAGATCACTCTGAGGACCTTCCCCCTGCCCCTATCTCCAGGGCGCAACAGCCCTCGCCAGACACTGGCACTAGAGAAAGCCTTAGAACCCTCTGCCCAGCTGGCCTTGTGCAGCCCACAGGCTGCCCTGGCCCTACTCAGGACTGGGTCCCAGCTGGGTTCACCCTCCCACATCAAGATAAAACATGGAAGCCATCCCTCCACCTCTGGGTGGCACCAACTGACACGTGCCCCTGCCTTGGTGCCTGCCCCTGGCCCTTGGGGCCCCTGCCCAGCACTCCCTGACCTCCCACCCGAAGCACATCGCATGCTCCAGCTCACCCACGTGGGAGGCAGAGAACACGAGAAACCCACATGGGCCCCCCATGTCCCCTTCCTTTCTCTGCTCTCAGGCCTGGAGCCCCCACCCCCTTCTCACCCGAGGGCAATGTCTCTGTCCAGAGCCCCAGCCCCACACCTGCTTCCTCAGCTGACAGCCGACAGCCTTCTTCCCTACCCTCACTCCAATACCTCAGGCATCCCAAGAGCCCTGTCCCTAGTCCCCTTCCTTCCGAGCCCCCCACGTCCTACCCATCAACCTCATGTTGCTCACAGCCTCAGGTGCCTGCTCCTCCATCCCAGCATGGGCCACTCTTTAAGGGCTGCCTGCTGCTGGCCACCCCCTTCCAGGTGCCTCATGGGCTTCAAGCTCAGCACCCTCTACCACAAACACCTGCTGCCCTGGGACCTGGGACCTCCCCTGCCTGCTCCACAGCCTTTGAGGGCCTGCCTTGGCAGTACTGACCACTGCTTGGCAAAAACCCCTCTCACTTCCACCCATCTTCCTACCCCATTCTCCCAGCGCCTGGCCTGGAGAGGGCCCCGTTAGTGAATGACCATGTGAGGGAGTTCATTTCTAATAAAAACCTTTGAGGAGGCCCTCCTTGCACTGGAGGTCTCACCTCCTGGGAAGATCAGCACCCACCTACCCATCCACCCACCCACTCACCCATCCACTTATCCATCCACCCACCCACCGACCTCTCCCATCCATCTACCCATCCATCCACCTATTCATCTACCCATCCATCCATCTACCCCAACCTCTCCCATCCATCCATCTACCCCAACCTCTCCCATCCATCCATCTACCCCAACCTCTCCCATCCATCTACCCATCCATCCACCTATTCATCTACCCATCCATCCATCTACCCCAACCTCTCCCATCCATCCATCTACCCCAACCTCTCCCATCCATCCATCTACCCCAACCTCTCCCATCCATCTACCCATCCATCCACCTATTCATCTACCCATCCATCCATCTACCCACAACCTTTCCCATCCATCCGCCTATTCATCTACCCATCCATCCATCTACCCCAACCTCTCCCATCCATCTACCCATCCATCCATCTACCCCAACCTCTCCCATCCACCTATTCATCTACCCATCCATCCATCTACCCACCCATCTACCCATCCATCCACCTATTCATCTACCCATCCATCCATCTACCCCAACCTCTCCCATCCGTCTACCCATCCATCCATCTACCCCAACCTCTCCCATCCACCTATTCATCTACCCATCCATCCATCTACCCCAAACTCTCCCATCCACCTATTCATCTACCCATCCATCCATCTACCCCAACCTCTCCCATCCGTCTACCCATCCATCCATCTACCCCAACCTCTCCCATCCACCTATTCATCTACCCATCCATCCATCTACCCCAAACTCTCCATCCACCTATTCATCTACCCATCCATCCATCTACCCCAACCTCTCCCATCCACCTATTCATCTACCCATCCATCCATCTACCCCAAACTCTCCCATCCATCTACCCCAACCTTTCCCATCCATCCACCTATTCATCTACCCATCCATCCATCTACCCCAACCTCTCCCATCCGTCTACCCATCCATCCATCTACCCCAACCTCTCCCATCCATCTACCCACCCATCTACCCATCC